CTGCTTGTAGGTCCATGTCCTGCAGGTTAAATTCTCTGAACAGAATATAAGAAGTCCTTTTTAAGTAAAGTTTGAGAAGTAATAGGGACATTTTGGTTTTAGAACACTGAGTTTGCAACTTTGCACTATGTTTTCAAGATTATCGTTATATCCTAATCTTAAGAGTCATCGAATCCTGTTCGATTGATTTATGTGTAACATTGGAACTGAGCTTTCGAATACTAAACCTGGAATTTGGTGGAGTTTCTGGTTGACATGTTATTGTATTCTTATGATTGTATTGATTCAAATTTTTTTGACATGCATTCTTGTTTCTTCAATTATATCAGGGTTTCAGGAAAACAGATACAGATCGCTGGGAATTTGCAAATGAGGCCTTTGTCAAAGGCCAGAAACATTTACTGAAGAACATCACTCGAAGAAAGCAGCCTCAGGGTGTAGTACAAAAAAAATATTGTCAAAAAACTTCTCAACTGAATGAGTCGGATCATTCTCTTGCGTCTGAAGAGGACAAAAGAGTTGAACTGTGGAAGGAAGTTGAGAATCTTAAGACTGATAAGAATTCTCTCATGCAGGAGTTGAAAAAACTACGGCAGCACCAGCAGACCTCACAGAGTAAGTTAGTACTCCTGAGAGAACAACTAAAAGGTATGGAGAAGAACCAACAGCAGATGCTTTCTTTCATAGTGATGGCTATGCAAAATCCTGGATTTCTGGTCCAGTTATTACAGCCAAAAGAGAATAATTGGCGAATGCCTGAATCTGGAAAGAGTGTACTGAGTGAAGTTACAGATGATTGTAAACCGGCTCCTGATGGAATGATAGTTAGGTATCAGCCACCAACAGATGGAGACTTAGTGCCTGCATGTACCACACAATTTTTAAATTCTGAAGACGTAATGGAATTTGATCTTTCTACTGATGAAATGAGAGATCTTCTTTTGGATGTCGATCTTTTGTCAGGACCATTGGATGAAAAACACTCCCCTTACGAAAATTATGGCCAGCTTATTCTTCCAGATATATCTGGTGATGATTATATGCTTGAACAACTTCTTTTATCCAGTCCATCGATAGAAAATGTACAGGCTGCCAAGCTCGATGAGGACAACGATGAATGTCAAAGTAAGAACATCGAAACTTCAGAGTTTCAAAGCCTACTTGATAACTCCGAGAGCGTGGAAGTTTTAACTAAACAAATAGGAATTCTAAGTTCGGAAAGCAGCCAAAGATATTGAGGTTTACTTGAAGCCATTGCCTAGGAATATCATGTTTTTGGAAGTTTTGCAATACATTTTGGTTTCCTTAAAAATCTGGACAACAGGCACTGTGGCTTGAATGAATCCAATTTTATGCTTGGTTATTATCCAGGCGAGTATATTATGATTATTATTCTTATAGAAATGCATGAAGACCAACGCTACCAGTCGAGATTGTACAGTTACTTTACTGATTATACCTTATGGTTCCTGAGTATCCTTTCTTACACATATATGAGCTTGATGGTGTTAATCCTTCTCCCAAACGTAGTTTTTTTTTTGTCTTAAAATTTTTTGCTGATTGGAGCTTTTTTTAGGTGTCGGCAGAGAAAATAAATGGATTATTGAGTCATAGAAAGGATAATGACTCAAAATTTCATTATATTTATATTCTTGTTTTATCCGCGCCCCAAACTTATCCCCGCAATGCTACTTCTTTCAGCCCTTCTAGCCTTTGCCTACTGCCAGTCTCCCTGCTCCGTTCTCTGCCCTAGCAACTGCATGCAGCCCTTCTCCTCGTCCCAGCTGCCATATTGAATTAAACATCATGAATTTTGCTCCCATAAGTTTAATTCTGATTTCAATATGTAGGGAAAAAATATTCCTTTTTGATAAATTTTCAATCAACGTGATCAGATGTTCGGAATTATTATCTTTAATCACTTCATCTTAATTATCGACTCCTGTCGATAATTATCAGCTGCCTCCAAATACTCATTTGAACTTGATGAGTTGATGTTATTGTCATCACTCTTTTAGTATGATTTGTTTCTTTCTGGTTTTTGGCATTTTCACCATAATCTGAAATTTGGAACTCGCTTGAGGTGTAATTCTTCTCTGGAGCCAAATGAAGTCGAATTGCGAAAAGAGTTATTGCCAACATATGTCTGAGGGTGTCTTGTGTTCCTAGCCTTTGAATTAGTTATCCTCTTTCATCTAGCCAAATTTATTTTAACATATAAGTGATTTTAAAAAAATTGCTGATTACAAACACTCCTGTGGACCTGTGGGTTGCTAATGCTTATACCCAAGAAAGAGAAAGGGAGGGAGGGAGGGAGGGAGAGAGAGAGAGCTATTATTTTTGTACCTTGATATAATGACTTCGTATGTTCCATTAAAATTGTTCCTATATTATTTTGCTTTTATCTTTAACAAAGAAAAGAAATGGGTTAAGAACAAGTAGGCAGGTTAATTATAAGTGGAATTTACAGGGAGGCAGATTTTTGAAGATTGCTTTTCAAAAATCAAGTTTAAGGTTTGTTTATACAAAAATCAGGCGATAATTTTAAAATTCAGAAGAGTAACGGTACTCTTATCATGCGAATGTTGGAATTTTGTATTGGAAATTGGTTGTGACCAATTGAAATGATTTAAGTGGAAATTCCTTGTTTGGTGAATGAGAAATTAAGCCAAACTTAAACCACTTAATACTTGAAATTATTGGAATTGTGTAGAATATTGTGGAATATTCTAGAGAATGT